GTAGACGGACTTTTTCTACCTCGCATGCCAGACGAATGGCTTTGGTATTTTTAAGCTCTGATTTAAGCTTGACAACCTTGGGAATTCTCTTTGAAATTAGAAGTTTGGAGATTTCCTTTGAAATCAGAAGTTTGGGTATTTTCTTCATCACCTACTTTGAAAAGAGGGATGGTTTTGAATTTTGTCATTTATTGACGATTTTTCAAATCGATAATGCAATCGTAGTGCTCGAGGAAATCTGAACCAAGAAGGCCATCGAAAGCAATATCTAAATCGTGAATATAAATTTTGTGGTAATCGTTGGGAGCAAAGGGAACTAAGACTGCTTCTGTGATAAAAATTTTTTCGTCCGTAATACCTCGGATGGAGATATTTTCAGCAACACGTTTCGTGTAATTTTGGCAGGTGTTTCGCTTGAAAATGGAACAACCGGCACCACTGTCAATAAGGATTTTGAATTTTCCTGTTGCGTCGTTGATGTAGTATAAGTTGTTTGCGCTGACAGAGAGAATTGTCGACGGGACTATAATATCTTTATCTAAATGAACATTTGGTCGGGAGTTGACGTTGTATGGGGTCTTTGACATTGAGCTTTTGCAAGCTCGCAATCATATGATCGGAATCGTCGTTGGGCTTCACAGGCGGTTCTTCTTTCGGAGAACGTTCGCGAAAATCCTGATACTGCAGGTTATAATCAGCGGTATCATCGTATTCGTAACAGAAATCGTTATTGCTACCAGGGTCAGGGAATTCGTCATACTGCGAGGGGGTGTAAGCAGGGTATTGGGTTTTTGTACCATACTCGCTCGCATAATTTGTATTGTAAAGGTCGGGTTCAGGGTACTCGGAATATTCGTAGCAATCTGGAGCTTCGTAGTTGATTCGATTTGTGGAATTGCTTAGTCGGAAGCTTCTTTGGAAGTTAGGGTTTTGGAAGCTCGGATTCTGTTGTATAACAGAAGGTCTTGGTACATTAGTATTAGGAACATTTGGCCTAATAACAGAGGGTCTGTGATGGTACTGATTGGAACTGGGGGGGCCTATTGTTTTGTGTTGGAGGGTTAGGGTTAGTTCGAGGCGAAAATGATTGGGGCTGGAAAACTGATCTCGGAATATTTTGTGAGAGCTGTTGTCTTCGCTGGCACTCATTTGCTAAATGACCTGGTCGGTGGCAGAAATTGCACACTCTCGGACCTGGTTTTTTAATGGAAGAATTTTGATTAGGGTTAGGAGCTCTAGAAAATTTTTGTCTTTCAAGATATGATAATTGTAGTTCGCGCTTGATAAAAGTGACTGCAGTAAGGATATCTGTTGGGTGACCTGATCTTACAATCGGGCCAATTTTGGAATCTAGTCCTGTAAGGAGAGACAGTTTAGAGTAATGGTCTCTATAAATGAACTTTGAGCAGCTTTCTGCTCTCGGTTCATGTTTTGTCGATTGACGGCTGAATGCATCTTTGCCGCATGAGTTTGAAGTCTTGAGGCAAAGGTTAGTGGGGATTCGTTTGGTAGTTGACGCATATGCTGCAGATCAGCAATTAAGGATGTGAGATCTCGAAGATCTCCGAAATGTGTTTCAAGGAGAGAGCGTATGTCTTCCCATGTCGAAGGGTTACGGGAATTGACGAGTTCTGCTGCTCGCAGTTTGTTTTTTATATGTAGGACGACAAGGAGACGCTGTTCCTCGACAGCCATTTGGTGCGCTGTTCTACATGCGTTGATAAAAGTCTAAAGCAATATCGGGTTGCCATCGTATTCAGGGGCGATTGAAAATATTTCGGACAGTCTGTAAGGCTCGATGTTTGCATGAGCGTTATCAAGAACTTCAGGTGCTTGGTAATCATCTGATCCATGCTCTGACATGGTGATTGGAAATATGTTTCCGGAATTCGACAATAGTACGCAAAATATACGAATAAATATGGGAAAAATATGTAAAAGTTTATAGAAAATACGTAAAAGGTCGTAAGTAAATGTGAAAAATATAGAAAGTGTTGCGCAAAATATGAAAATCACTCAATAAATACGCAAAAATATAAAAATACAGAGATAATTGCAAACGATAGTAGATTCAATTGTACGTTACCAGTGGTACATCAGGAGGCAGTCGTGTTTTCCAGAGGAGGCTCTCGGATCTCTTTCGATGCTTCCAAGTAGACTCTCTGCAGTTGGGTGGCTGCTGCTCGCTGTGCGATCTAGTCACCGGGAAAGGTTGCCGGTACCGATATATCGATCATCTCTACTCTACTATGTCTATCTTTCATTTGTATATGAATTAGTAACGAATTCTACCCTACCATATTCATTTGAAAAACTCACACTTTCTAAAGTTAAGGCAAAGAGTATATCTCGTCACCATTCATCCATTCAACACTATTTCAGAGAATATATCTTTTTCTTGAGGATACTGATTTTGATTCTGTGTATTATATTTTTCTGAATTCTTGTGTAATGTCATTTCAAATATACAAATAGCCTTCGGCTAAATTTCGCCCTTCATAAAGCCGGTATATTACTTTTATTATTGTATGAAGCCCCAAATACGTAGGTACATTCACTCCGACAAACCACGGAACTGGTATTTGCCGATCTGGCAGCATCAAGAAGATATTTGACCCTAGCAGCTGATGAGGCCAAAGAAAAGGGGAGAAGACCGACAATAGTTGTACACTCAAGAGGGGAAAGAAAAGCCTGTGTAAAACGGTTGGACAAAAAGAAGCCTGTCGAATGAGGATGCCAGAGTCAAGCACGGACTCGAGGCTAACCTCAGGAGACGAAGACAAACAGCAAACTGACTGACTGACTGACTCCAGTCGACGAGGAAAGAGCGAAGGCTCACCAACCTTAATGCGGGGCTTAGGTCAAGGCCCCAGAGCAGGACCCCAAGAAAGAGGCCGTCCATAAAAGTCGAGAACCGACAGTTGGATGAAACGTCCACCACGTGCTTCCGCGACGCGGACGCGATCGACTCAGTTTCGGGAAAAAGGGGCAAAATTGGGGAGGGGGTAGCTGGCTCGGCAGCACACTCGGGGAATGCGCAGCGGCCTGAACCACGCTGTGCCACTCCAGGCCTTCGGGCGGGAGGGGAGGTAGGAAGGAGCCAATTGCTCTTCCCCCCACTCCTCAAGGGTTTGAGGTTGCCTGGAACAGGGGTGGTGGAGGGACCGCACAGGGTAGGAGGGTGTTTGTATGTCGATCTGGCAACATTGCTGGTAGCTGTCAGATCATCTAACCTAGAGATGATCTTAGCAGCGACTTGCAAGTCGCCGGGATACCGGTGACAGCGACCTTAAAGTCGCCGGTAGATTTCGCAGCGCTTTAGGTCACTGCTTATCTATGGTCGCTGTCAGCAGCCAGCGACTCCCTGGCGCTGATTAAATTACTCGATATTTGGCGGCGGTTATCCATTGATATCAACAAGGTGTAGATGTTCAGGTTCCTGAAGATTTGAATTATACTATATTTAAGGTTTTTGTTTTTAACAATATTGAGCACAAAACACATAAAATCATAAAAATACATAAAATATATTTCTATGAATCTTAAAAAGTAAAACAAAATACTATTTTACCAGTCAAAAAAAAACTTTTAAAACATAACAAATGTAGTATAACAATGCTTCTTTTATATGTTAAACATTGCTTAATAAACGAAACATTTTTCTTTGAAACAGGAACTCACAACAATAACAATAAAAACTAACAAAATAGGTTAGGCTACGCTGTAGCGACCCTGTACTTCCCGCGCGATGATCGCGAACGCGATGTGTATGTGCTTCCTGGCAGCGACCGCGACCGAAACAGCGTTACAGCTACCGATCAGTGGTTACCGATACCGATACTTCCAAAAGCGATCTGGGTCGCTGCTTCATGGAGAATCAGGTCGCCGGGGCTAACGGCGACCATTCAAGTCACCGGGAAAGGTCGCCAGTGCCGATATATCGATCATCTCTAATCTAGCCTAACCGCCATTTGGCGTTTGTTTTGGTTTATAGCTGCAAAGCAAAAACTGAAAAATGAATACAAATAATAATTATTCTGTAAGTTTTTTTTTCGTCCAGATCACTTTGCTGTACATACTTATACGCCATAGATTCATGACCACAAATGGTCAGACAGTGAGAGCAAAATGTTGCTGGAGTTGTACAAAGTTTGTGGCAAAAAAAGATGTTTAGAGATAAAAAACCTGAAAATTTTATGGGAAAGGATTGCAGACGAACTGGGGAAGAACAAGGTTAATGTAACGCCGAAAAATTGTCTAAATCGTTTGAAAGTATTACAACGGAACTACAAGAAATTTATTGATAACCAGAATCAAACAGGTAAACAGAATACTGGACTTGAGTATCACATTAAAGCTACGAAATAAGGTTCAAGAATTGCTTGTTTAGCATTTGTTCAGTTATAAAATAAATTTTTGGCACAGATCAGCTATTGTGACCACCTTTGCCTGTGTCAAAGTACAATCTTGTACTTAGAAAAAGGCTGAAAGTACACTCATTTCTTGATCTGTAAGCTTACTATGGCAGCAAATCTTGCATCAAGTGCTTTTCTAGCTTACACTTTGAAACCTTTTTTCCGAGGTGAGTGAGAAAGCAAAAACCTCTCTAGCTAGCATTCATGACCTCAATAGTTACATTTCAACAGTATAGCATTCTTAATTTTCGTTATTTTTTAGGCAGAGGGCATATACATGTTGCGTATGCACAAGAAATGGACGAGATATTTGACAAAAAGAAAAACGTCCATCCGGAGCTACTACTATATACAGATGCAATTAATGAAGCACCTTTGGACATGGAGCCACCAGAAGTTACCATATCTGAAGGGAGCGAATGTAAAATAGGTAAAGAAAACAAGAACACCAAGAAATTAATAATGAAAAAAAAGCATACAGGATTAGAAAAGCTGCGATTAGATAGAAAGGAGTACTATATAGAAAAACTAGGAGTGGAAAAAGAAATCCTTTCAGAAATAAAAAAGAGAGGAATGCTCTGTTACATGAACAAAATTGTATTCTAAAAGAAAAACAATGCCATCATAATACTTAAGTGTAGTGTCCAAAAAATTATACATAGATTCATTATTTCATATGTTTGTTATTGATTCCTATTATTTTATTTATCTTTCCAAAGTATTACAATATATCTCATAAAGCTTGTAAATACTACCTATTAGTGATAACACAATGTATTATTTTGCACACTAAACTATGATTTTATTTCGTTTATTAATTTGTTTAAATAATGTATGTGTTGTTTAGTAAAATAAAAGGTTCGTTATACAGTTCATTCTTCAATTAAAGGATGATGTTCTTGTTTAAATAATACACATGTCATCAATTTGAACAAGTGCCATCTTCAGGCTCATTGGCAAAATCCTCATGTTAACCATAAGCTTGAAAATGCTGTCCTTCATTGGTGTCCAAGTTATCACTGAAAACAAAGTTGTCTTCTAGGGCTATGTTATGGAGAACACACGCAGCTCGAATCATAGGCACAATAGTTCTGATTTTTAGATGATACAGCTGCCTAAATTTCTGTTTAAGCATCCCAAAACAGTGCTCAATCACATGTTGGTTTTTTGAAACTTTGACATTGTAATTTATTTGTCTGGTAGTTAAATTTCCTCTATCTCTATAGGGTGTAAATAAATTGGTTTCTAAGGGATAGCCACTATCCCCTAATATAAAGTATCCTCCACATTCTGCTTGTAAAGTGTTCTTTAGAGGGGAATTCCGATACACTCTACTGTCATGCACCGAGCCTGGGTATCCAATGAACACATCCAATATTTTATATGTATGGTCACAAACTGCTTGCATCTGAAACGTTTAATTTTGCATAATGCAATGATTGTATTATCCCCACCATGGATGATGTATATACCTGCACTGAATAATAACCTTTGCGATTGATGTAGGAATCAGGGTCATTCTGGGGCTTATCAATTTTAATGTGAGTACCATCAATGGCACGGATGACATTTGGAAACCCATTCATGTTGAAATGGTTTTCGATAATCCCTTTCTCATCTTCTGTTGGCCACTTTATGGTGTGTGGGGATAGGTCGCTGAGAAAGGATGTCAATCTCATTATAATTCTACCGAGAGAACTGAGACTGATATTAAACCAGTCAGCAACATCTCTAAAACTCGAAGTTTGGTGTCCAATGTATCACAAATAAATTAAAACCTAAAAAGAATATTCTGCATAAAGTACAAACTAAAGACCACACAATTATTACTATAGTACTATTGCCAAGTGCATTGAATTGTTTTCTAATTTCTTAAAATAAAATTATGTCTTACTTGATGATTGGCACTGATATTTCCATATTGTCCAGCCTGATCATGACAGTTAGAGATTCCTTCAAACTTCTAACTGATGCTATTGACTGTTGCTCTTGAAAGCCTGAAGTGTTCCATAAATACTACGTCGGAATATTGTGGTATTGTTTCCTCTGAAACATAAAAAAATGCTTGATTTTGCTGTTTGCTTGACAATCCAGTATCACTAACAAACTACATAATATGTATCTAACATATAGAGATAGATAATTTTCATTTTTAAACCGAGGGTCCTCCAGGTCATCTTCAATATCCGAAAACAATACAAAATCGATGTCCCCTTCGTCGTCAGTACCCATCGCGATGAAAAATGTTGAACATTATCTTTTGTAAACACAATACACACGTTCAATCAGTGTTGCCAGGTAGATCAGACCAAAAATCGCTACCAGCTATCCGAAAAGTCGCTACTTTGTCGCTACAAAGGAATATCTACTTATTTAATTGAGGTGCACTAAAGCGGCCCATAAAACCAAATAAAACTGTATTTAAATTTAAAGTTTCAAAAAAACATAACGAAGTATATAAGTTATAAATAAAAAAAACTAAGCTAACCTATTCACTGTCACTATCACTTAAATGAGAATCTTTTTCGAGAGTTGTGCCTGTATTTTGATAAACATTGTTCATTTTTGACAAATGATTATCATTTGTTTTATATGTTAAACAGCAACTCTTATCTTGCTTTAAATCCAATTTTACCATTAAAATACAACAGAAAAGGTCAACACTTAATTTATTTCTTTTTCTGGTTTTTATATCTGCCATATGTGATAACGTTCTTTCGACATCAGCATTTCCATGCGGAATTATCAAAATACTGGTAACAATTTTCCCAATATTTGCAAAAACATATTGGTCGTTAAAATTTTTTAATTCTTTCAGTTCACCCCAAAAAGCTACCGCTGATTTTTTTAAGCTGTTCTTTTTCTTCGAAAGAAAAATAGAAGACCAATGAGGTTAATTAAATCTTCACTTGCATACTTCAATCGCTTTTCCTCATCATGCTCTATAAACGTCACAAATAGATGCTTTTCAGTTACAACCAAAGAAAATAATCTTGCACAGGATTCACAATTACTATCAATTTTGAGTCTGCCCAAAATGTACCCAGCCACATAACCATTTGAAGGATTCCATTCAACAGAACCGTCCATTATTTCCATGTCAGAATCACTTAGAATATCAGGGTCTAAATCAAGCACTGTATCATTACTTTGGTCAAATTTATCCAAAAAGTCACTGAAATCGACCAAAGTATCACAAAAATGGATTTCACAATTACCTTTAGAAAAAGGTGTGCTGCAATTATTAATAACTTCTGTTTTTAAGGCAGCAACAGCTGATGACTGTTGGGATTTGTATTGAAGATTGTTGGGGTATTTTCCAACTAGTCTTCTAAGAAGACCCTATTTTTGTATGGTACCGTTTATTTTTTCGTAAGTGGACTGTATCTACATTATAATGATATGGTTACAAAATATGTGTGTGTCTTGCTCGACGGTAGTCGTGTGTCATTCGCGAACGAGTCGTTCAAAATGAACGACTCTTCTAAGTAAGCGGTGATTGAACGACTCTTTTGTTACGAATGACTCGTTCAATTGTGCCAACCAATCCAAGGAAGTCTTGCAGCGTGCAGCAGGTGAACTGCGAGCGGGCAACAGTGTTGACAGTGACAGTGCGACAATCGACAGTGTCAGTTGTCATTGTCAATGGTGACAATTTTGAATGAAATTTGAATCTTTGAATGTTTTATAATAATACTAAACTGTGCATTTTTGTGTAAGTTAAGAGTCAAGTCAATTTAATGGGAGTGTTAAAAAATGTAAGTGAAATATTTATTCAGTTTTACTAACGGTTTATAAATTAATAAAAAGTAAGTGAAATCTTTCACTTAACAGTGACTTGAACAAGTTCAAATATTTTAGTTTTGAACTTTTTCATGTCCATGTCATAGAGATAATTTATAATAAAATGTTAGATATGACCTTTAAAGTACTTATACTCTTTAGCTGCTATATTGATAATTAGTAAAGCAAAAAATACAGAAAAATAAATTTAATGAACATAAATATAAGGAATATTGAAAATATACCTACAACATAACATATTTACAAAAAAAACTGTAATCAGGAACCATATTTTATTAAACTTGAATATCAAGTCATAAAAAACAAAATAAAACATATATTAAACAGTAACTTAATCACAGCCTGAATGCTTGCAATAAAATAAACTATCAAACAGATAAAAAAACAAAAAATAAATATACCAAACATAAAAACTTATTCACAGAAAGTAATGACTTAGGAACATTATTTTAATAAATAAATGAAACTAAAAATATAACTCTTTCACAAAAAATAATTTACATATTTCAGTAAACAAATTGTAGAAATATATTAAACAAAAACTTAATCACATCTTTGTTATGCATTTGAAGTATAAAAATAATCATCACAAATTGGAATTCAAAAAGAGTAACATGAAAACTTTTTGTCCTTGAAGACTGCTCCTTTTTTCTGTAAGAGTTTCACAAGCTTTAGAAAATATCCTTTCACTAGAGACTGAAGTAGCTACTATGCTTAACCTACTTTTCATAAGCACATATAGTCTGGGATATACATGTTTCCTTTGTTCCCACCACATGAATGGGTCACAATCTCTCTGCAATAATGGCTCATCTAGATATTTTTCTACTTCTATAATTCCAGCTGTTAAAGGATTAATACTAGACACCACATTAGCAATAGCCGAATCAAAAGATTCCCATATAGCTGATTTTGTAGTTTTTTGTGTTAATTCAACTCCATCTGCCTGAATCTGCTCATCATTTCTGTTGGTGACTTCACTTGATGATGGGGTATTCCTGGTGACATAACTAATAAATTTTTTTTGCACATTCGAAAGCTGTTTTACTATCAAATCCAAATTTTTTAAATCGTGGATCCAAAATTGTTGCTTCAGCAAACATTTTGTTAAATTCTATATTGCTTAACCTTTTTTGTAAAGACGATAATAGAGCCTCAGTCAGCTGTTTACACTCTTCTGAAATTTCTGGATTATCCACCAGAAATTTCCTACAATATTTTGAAAGTGAATTGCTAAACAATATAATTTTTGAAACAGTCACCTCTTTTTCTGATGAAATTTCTTCTGTTACTTCCTTGAATACTTTTAATATCTGACAACATACTTCCAAAATTTTCATGTCAGTGTTTGATAAATTTGGTAGGTTCGTGTAATGTATTGCAATTACTGACATCAATGGTTGTTTTATTTCTAGTATGCGCTGGAACATGTCAAATGTGGAATTCCATCTTATGGCCACATCTTGCTTCACTTTTAATTCAGGAGGCCCGAGTTGAATTTCCATTCGTTTTAATTTTTCAGTAGCTTGTGGGCTACGCCTAAAAAAATCAACTATGGTTTTGACTTTTTGTCTAATACTGTGTATCTTTTCTGAAGATGATTGCACCACTAAGTTAATTGTATGTGCAAAACAAGGAATGTGGTTCCAGCCAGTTTTCTTCACAGCTGCTACTATATTTGCCCCATTATCAGAAACAATGGCAACTATTTTCTGATCAATCCTCCACTCATGTGCAATTCTCTTGAGTCCTTCACATAAATTTACAGCTGTATGGCTGTCAGTATAATTATAGCACTCTAATAAGTTTGAGTTAATCTTATTAGAATGTAAATAGTGGGCTGTGATGGCCGAATAACTTTCATTTGATGCTGATGTCCATGCATCAGTTGTTAAGCAAACAAATTCTGCTGACTGTATTTTATCGAACACCTGCTCTCTTGTTTTATTATAATATTGAGGTACCAATGCTTTTGATACAGTTTTTCTACAGGGGAGCGAGTAGCCAGGGTTCAATTCTTAAAATAAAATGCTTAAAATCCTCACTTTCCACAATTTGAAATGGTAGATATTGTTTGGAAATCATTCTGACCAAACACCTCATCCTTCTTTTTCACTGGCACAGGTTTATAAAAAAAAGAATTCATATTCAAAGTATGTTGTGTTTTAGTTGCTACATGAAACGCTGTGATGTTTCCTGATTGCTGGTCACTGGAACTAAAGGTGGAGGGTTTAGATGGACTGGCTTCTGATAGTTGATTTTCATCTCTTACTGATGATCTCTGGCCGCCCTTCCTACATACACTGTCTACGGAACCAGGATGCTTTGTTTTAAGATGTCTCATCAAATTATATGTTGATCCTCCCCTAAATGATAAGATTTGAGAGGAAAAATTGCATTTTGCTCTAGAACCCGATAACTCCTCAAAACCATCACTTTTTTTTTTGAAGACATGATATAATATGATTATAATATGCTTTACAATATCGTTACATTCCGTGAGTGAGTACCATCACAAAAGTGGCAAGAGTAGCAGCTAGCAGCACAGAGCACAGCACAAAACATGTGAGAAGTGAGTGAGCCATGAGTCATTACACGAAAACACTCGTCATTCGAGGCCGGTCGGGAAGCGTGTCGGCCGTGTCGTTCAAACGAACGACTCCGAACGAACGACTCACTGAAGAGAGATGAACGAAGTGAGCGAGCTCAGTGAAAAGAGTCGTATGTCTCAGGCCTACTCGACGGTCCGCGGAGAAGTCCTTTGGCGGCGGCGTTGCTTCTCGGCAGTCGTGACGTCAGCGTGACGACCAGTGGCGGAGGCGAGGGTTTCAAAAATGCTTGTACAATGCTCCCGGCCTTGAAAACCAATTTTCAACATCTTGAACTGGAAGCAAGCAAAGCCGGTTCAATGCACGGTTGATAACTCCCATATAAGTCTTTAAAACTGCAACTCGAGCAACACCATCGAAGCCTGGAATTAGACGGAGTACTCGGGTCAAGCGCCATCGTAGCGGAGGTTGATTGGTATCCTTAATCAACACCATTTGGCCAATCTGAAGACTGGAACTGGTCTTCTTCCATTTCTGTCGCTGCTGGAGTTCGCTGATATACTCTTTGCTCCACCTTTCCCAGAAATGTTGCTTCATCTTGCAAATCCGCTGATAAGAAGACAGACGGTTCTGTGGTAACTGTGTGAGATCCTATTCTGGGGCGTCTTGCATGGAGCGGCCGATGAGGAAATGGGCAGGAGTCAATCGGTCTGGTCATGACGATCAGAGGACAATGGGGATATAGGCCGACTGAAGAACGCACTCGATTTGTGTTAATAACGTTGAAAAGTCTTCGTATACGAACGAATGATAACCCGCGACTCTTTTAAGGTGATATTTGTCGCTTTTAATGCCAGCTTCCCATAAACCGCCGAAATTGGGACTATTAACCGGGATGAAGTGCCACTTTATACCGATTTGCGCCGAAGATCCGGACGAATGTGAGTTCAAAAACCTTCTGAGATCGTTGGATGCTCCAACAAAATTGGATCCATTATCGGAAAAAATGTCTGAAGGCTTGCCTCGGCGAGAGATGAATCGTTTTAGTGCCTTCAAAAAATCTCCAGTACTCAAGGATGCGACTAGTTCGAGGTGAATTGCCTTAGAAAACATACGAAAAGTGCTATCCAACACTTTGAAGTCCTAGCTCCACGACCACGTTTGTTTTTTAACAGTAATGGTCCTGCGTAATCAACGCCCACGCTCGTGAAAGGCAACGCTAATGTCACGCGATTGGATGGTAAGTCACGCATAATCGGTTGAACGGAATTTTGTGTAAATCTGGCACATGTAACGCAATTCCGAATCGTGTATCGAGCGAGATTTCTACCGCGCAATATCCAAAATTTTTCGCAGGTGCTACAGAGTAATGACTGAGGATCTGCGTGTAGAGAGTTGATATGTTCGTGACGGAATATGAGTTTAGTTAGGTGATGATGAGAATCGAGGTTAATCGGATGCTTCTTATCATAGGAAAAATCCTAGTTTCTAAATACCTTTTTCATCCAGAAATGGGTTGAGTGACAGAAGTCGACTCTTCGCTTCAAGGCTACAGGCGTTTTGGAGCCGTGATTAATCAGAAGGAAATGATTGAATTTGAGATATTCGAAGTAAGGCTTCGAGGCCATTCTTTAACTCCTCCAGCGTGAGCTGTGAGGTTGTATAAGTCAAACTGTCGTCAACACTAGACCAGCATAGTCCGAGAATCTTGCATGTGATTTCCTTTCCGGAGGAAAACTCAAGCACAGCTAGAGCTTATAAAATTGAGGACCTCCAGTTTAGAAGTTCAAATCCGCGCGTCTCGAACACCTCTATGAGCTTGATGCTGAGCTCCTTTGCGCTTTCAATGGAGTCGGTGCCCGTGAGTAAATCGTTCGTGTACATGTCGTGTTTGATTATGAGTGATATTCTGGGTTCCTTCTTTTCAACTTCTTCTGCAAGTTAATAAAGACATCGCGTCGCGAGGAATGAGGCTGCGTCGTACCGTATGTTACCGTATTCAGTTCATACGTGTCAATTGGTTCTTCCGAGTTTGAACGCCATACCATCCGATGGAACTTCCGTTGTTCCGGAGATATCAGAACTTGTCGGTACATCATCTTGATGTCTGCCGAAATGATGTATTTGTGAAGTCGGAATCTTAACATGATAGCGATTAAGTCATCTTGGATAGTAGGTCCAGTCATTTGTGAATCGTTGAACGACATACCTGTGCTTGTTGTGGCCGATGCATTGAATATTACACGTAGTTTCGTTGATACGCTATTTTCTCGTAAGACGCCGTGATGAGGCATGTAGTATCCCTCATTTTCGACCGCAGGTTCTACTTTAGACATGTGACCTAAAGCTAACTATTCGTCGAGAAACTGTTTGTATAGATTGCGAAGATTGTCATTATTTTTCAATCTACGCTCGAGTTGATTGAATCGCTTTATCGCTAAGCTGCGAGATTCGCCGAGCAGGCTTGTGTCACTCTTCACAACACTATGTATCTGCCGCTTTCAGAAAACTGCAAATGTCTTTCGCACAGTTCTTGCTCTTCCGATAGGAATCTTTTTGGAGCGATTTCTTCGACTTCCCAAAATTTTGTTAGTTGCGAGTGTTTTCGTAAATCTGAATCGTTGTCGAACCCGAGGAAATGACATTTCACTTCGTTCTTGGGCTGGACAAATTTACCACCGAGAATCCAACCAAGTCGTGTTTTTTGTAATATAGAATTGTTTACCGAGATCGATTTGTCCTACATAGAGTAGGTGCCAGAATATGTCTGCGCCTAGCAAAATGTTAACTTTGTTAGGTGTATTGAACGTTGGATCAGCAAGTTTAATGTTTGCTGGAATGTTCATTCCGCGCTTGCAAATGAATGATCCGGGTAAATTACCTGTAATCTTATCCAAAACGAAGACCTGCAAATTAAATGAGAAGTCGCTTGTGGTTGAGAAGAGCTTCAAGTGGCATTTGTGCCTTATAGGAGAGGGGCTACCGCTAATGCTAGAAACCGATACGCTAACCGAGGATTTGGGTACTTTGACTAACACAATCGATTAGAGCACGTATTGTGTAACGTTGACCTTGAGTGTCATAGACATACAGTAATGCGGTCGATAGCATTGCTCGCTGAGTCCACTTTTGAGGTTAACGCGCAAGTTTTCTTTTCTTCAGGCAGTAAGGTATTGTGCAAACCTTGATATAATCTGCAACAACGGCTACGACAATCCTTTGCCTCATGTGCTGGACGTAGGCAGTTTATGCTTAGTCTTAACCACTGAACGTGAGCCATGCGATCCTTGATGGTTAATTTTAGGTAATCCGGGCAATAATATATCGAATGATTTCCCTTGCAACCGAAACATGAGAATTTTGTCGAGTCCGATCCTGTGTCCGCGTTGGTTGCGTGAAATCCGCGTACTCTATAGTTTGACCTATCTGTTTTGTCATTGGTCCTTTGTCTGCTGTGCATTGAACGAGAATCAACCCGAGAATCTGTAGATTTTGTATACCCGAGGTGTTTAGCTGTAAACTTTCAATAAGTTGCGACCGGTTATTCAAAAATATCTTGGATGTTTTCATGTTGGGTACTTGTTAGAAGTTACTTTTCTCCCACTCACGTACCTTATCGACATTATGTAAATGATAAGCGTGTCCCAACCATCTACATTTTCACCGAGTTGCTTTAAAAGACTCAAATGCTTGGTCATGTTGTCGCTCATATTTCTTATCGCGTGTGAGGATTCTTTGTCAATGTAATCAAGATCGAATAGTGCTTTCACATGATTTTTAACAAGTGCACTTTTGTTATCGTCTCTCGCAAAGAATCTGCCATGCGATGTTATAATTGTTAGCCGAAAACTCTAGGTATTCGATTACCTGTGCAGCTTGCCCTTCAAGACCCGCACGTAAGTAGTGAAATTTTTGAATATCATTCATCATTTCTTTGTCGTGGATCAAAGACTTAAAGGTGTCGCGAAATTCCAACCATTTTTTGAGATCGCCGTTAAACTTGGGCAGTTGAATGGTAGGAAGTTTAACCGATTCGTTATCATGAACGCTAGTTTCTAGTTTCCGTGATCTGTTAGATCTGCTTGATTTAACTGATTCATCTCTCGTGGATTCAGCCGTGTGTGCACTCATTTGATGCAGATAGAACTGAGTTTCTAAGTACGCATCCTCTACTAGGCACTCGATGTCAGACTGTATTGATTTAAATTCTGCTTCGAGATCCGCTAATTTACTTGTTTTGTTCGAAAGTAGAATAATTTGCCTATCGTTTAAGTTTTCTATACCTTCCGCTGATATTTCTTGTAGGAATCTTTCAAATGCCGTGAGTCGTGCTTTCACGGATCTTCTTTTTCGATTGAGAGTTCCGACAGCTGAGCCATGTTATGAAATTCTAATTATTCACCGTGGAAACCGCTTGGTTACTTGAATGTAAAGACTGTGAACTTACTACGCCGAGTGTGAATGAGCCGAATTTAATTTATTTTCTAGTGTTTGCAACTGAACCGAGTCTGACCGCGAACTTGTCTCCACCAAGTACAAGTTAAATCTACAGAGTATGACTTTAATAGCACCGAGAATAAACCGAAAGCACCGAGAATAAGCCTAGATTTATTGTGCGCACCATGTAGCGCGTATATTTGAATGTGTACAGACAGACCCCGCGCTGCCTGCTGAAACCTGAACGCGTAAGTAAATCGTGTAAATCACCGCCAAATAAAATCACAATATTCGACAGTGGCCTATAAGTGGGAAAGAGTTAAATGGATGGGTCTGACCTGCACTTCTCGCTCCGTCCTTGTCTGGCCTGTGTCCTGTGTGTCGTCTGCCGCCCGTCTGTTACTGGGAATATGGCTGCTGCACTAATTTCTTCACTTTACTTTGGCAATGTGGCTCGATGGACCAGACGATGTTGGGGTATTTTCCAACTAGTCTTCTAAGAAGACCCTACTTTTGTATGGTACCGTTTATTTTTTCGTAAGTGGACTCTATCTACATTGTAATGATATGGTTACAAAATATGTGTGTGTCTTGCTCGACGGTCCGCGGAGAAGTCCTTTGGCGACGGCGTTGCTTCTCGGCAGTCGTGACGACCAGTGGCGGCGGCGAGGGTTTCAAAAATGATTGTACAAAGATACCATGCTGTCTTACTTGACCAAATAAATTTTCCAGGGAATCTTGATTTAAATTTCTCAAACACAAGATATTTCAAGCCCTTCTCCTTAAGATCCCTCCATAGTGACATAACAGATCTAATTCTTATTTGCCAGCCTTCAACAAATTTTTAATCATTTGATTTGTCAACCCGCAGCGACAATGAAAATTGATTTTAATTTGGATACCTTGAGCAAACATTCCGGTGGACTTTAGACATAATTGATTCCTTAGGGCTCAATTCCTTCTTCGATGCACCAGATTTGGTTAATATGCCAGAGCCCTTCTCTAACAAAAAAGAATATTTATTTAAATAATTAGATTCTGTTCTAGAACCACTTCCGCTGATTTCAATGTTTTGATGTTCCAGAATAACACTGGAATTTTCATTTTGCTCAGAAGGGGTTGGATTTGTGCTAGCCTCTCCAGAAGGAGGGTCATTGAATAAAACTGTAGATACTGAAGTGAGACCTGGTTCATTAGGATGACTATTATTTGAATTTAAAACTGTATTGGGCGACACTGGTATGGTAAGATATCTGAGACGTGAAGGGTCTTGCGGATTATTACGATCAAACATTGAAAAATGATCTTCACAAACATAATAATTGGAAACTTTACGAGAAGGAGATATCTTACAAGCTGCCTTCCATGCAGCAACAGTTTTTTCATCTTTTGGAAAACGATGGAATTTTTATTTTTGTATATACAAGCAGATTTCCAAACAATGTGGAAATAGGAATTTTTGCATCAGTACTTTAAAGTAGCGATGTACGAAGAGGCAACCCCAAATTCAGACATGACTGATTAACAAAAGAAAAACAAGCTTATTGAAGTATGCAATCTTAAGTATTCCTGCACACAATCACAAGTTGTTTTACATTTAAAAATATATGACAAAGGTTATTAGTACTATTATTACATGAAGATTATGAACGATAAGTTCTCGATTGGGAATTAAATCAATAATTAAAAGTTTTATGTGTGGCTTACCCGAATCAAAACATAGATTGAAAACAAAATGGAAGTTCCCAGGGAAAGTCGTTTGTCAAAAATCAAACTCTGTTGGTAAGAACGTATCCTAGATTTTGCCTGGAGATTTATGTGTTTTGTGCCTGGAGAGAATGACCTTGGTGTTGCCAGTTCGCCCATAAGACGTTTCACCTCCCTGATCCAAGCAAGGAGGTTTGGAGCACAAAACGTATACACTGAAAAAGGTTTAATTCCATGCTATCCAATGGCAACACGGTGCCTTGTGTGGTTGTCAGCGGCCATTTTTTGAGGGTGCGACAGGATTGCCAGATTGTGCATTAATACCCCGCAACGTTGCCAGCTCTACATAGAAATCTGAGATTGCTATACATTTATATATAGAAATTTGGTGCGATATGGGCGATCTTATAACAGCATGTGTTATCAACATTTTGTGCTATCTTGACGAATATGTGTTAGTAGATGTCTTATGGGGATTCGGTCTCAAAAGTTCCAAAATCCGCCACCAGAGGCGCTGGCGTCGCGCGCCATTGACAGGTTGTTGGACGGAATCTGTATTCATGAGTTGGGGATTCCGCCGCTAGATGGCGCTGTCAAACCAAACGGAATCTGTGTGTCATTGGACACCTGTCATGCGTCATTGGGCATCTCACGCATAGATGGCGTTACACGTCATCTGTCATACGTCATTGGACACCTGTCATTGATGGGTTGGGCATCTCGCGAATAGATGGCGCCGATTTGTTTGGCGCTGTACAAACCAAACGGAATCTATGTGTCATTGGACAGCTGCCATTGATGGGTTGGGCATCTCGCGCATAGATGGCGCCGATGTCGCACCTGTCTGGTGTTGGCGTGGATTACGGGGGGCAACGTGTATACAGGGGTGCATCGAAAAATAGCGGATCGATGGACCGACGGTATATCGTTAAATCGTATATAGCAAGGCGTGACCTAAATAGCGTGGTGGGCTCCTCTGGTCGGTCGGTCGGTCAGAATGTCTCATAACCTGTATACGATGTACTGTTATTATTATACAGGATGATACCGTTCAAAATGAAAATAGTATAGACATTCTGACAATTATTTCGCAAACCAGAGGTATTTTCAATAAAACTACAATAATACGTTTAATATTTTATTGAAAATAGAAAAAACTACATAGGTAATATGATATTTGAAAACCAGTGGCGTAGACGTTCAACATTTCTCTGGGTACAGGAAAATTGTCCGTTGGTGTGGCATGGATTGGAATCAGCAACAAAGTTTCCAGTAGCACACGGTGTACCATCATACTTGCAAACATCAATAATGTTGGGAAAAACACCAAAAATGTGACATTTCTTGAGTAAAAAGTTTGCTTTCTGTTCTCCACGAACGTAGACATAGTCAGCCGCATATATCACCTTATTTTTAATTATTTCATTTAACTTGGAATATTTAACGTCGCCGGAAGAATATTTAAGCCCATGGAAATTCTTCTCCAAGTAAGCGACAGTTTTCTTGTCTTTAGTATTTAATGTAGAAAAAGGTTGCGGAGGTGTAAAGATGTAATGACTTTTCTTGAAACCAATTTCGATACATAGTTCTTTAGGTACGAATAATCCGTCAACTGTAAAGCCTTGAATGTCAACAAACGCGATCCTCATGATGTCTGATGCGGAACTGAGAGTCCTTCGTTGCTTACGAGATGGTTTTAATAACTTCGGTGAGGGGGAAGTACTCGATTAAGCAGTCATGTATAATGATGCAGTAGGCCTTGGTGTTGGTTGGAAAGCCAGTATCGGCTTCGATATCCAATCTAACATCAACAGTTGATGATTTCATGGTTTCCTCTTGTTTGGAACAGTCAATAACAAACAAAGCGCGATTTTTAAAAGCGGTATAATCTAAAAGACATCTCTTCAGAGGAGAAGAAGAAGTTGTATAGCTGGTTTGAAAGTCGCTATAGTTGAAATGAGCTTCAGTAAAGTGATTGTTTGCAAAGTCCAATTGCATACGTTCGTTGGGATAGTATTCACCATTTAAAGATACTCGAATACTAGCAGCATTCACGTGATCAAACAGGGTAGGGTCTGAGGTTGCGACGTCACGTTTACCGGTTTGGAAACATACTATAATGAAACGTGGTCTTTCGATTGCGGTGCTAGTTTTAACTGACCATATTTCTCTTCTCGCATCTGCGGTAATTGCAGGCAGTTCATTCAGATCCCATTTTCTAAATGGTATAAGTATCGGCTTATCAGTTTGAATAGCTTTCAAAAGTTGTTCTTTCACATCATCACTCGGGTAAATATGTTTGATTTTCAGTTCCATGCTTTCAATAGTTATTTTCGCTGTCGTCGTCGTTCCAGTTTTTTCCTTGATAATGATACAATCGTTATCGTTTCTAGCTCTCACAAATCTGAGAGTTTGTCTGCCACACGTAATCATAGGATAATCATTGAAAATGTTGAAAATATGTTTAAGCGGCATTAGCAAGCTAAAAGACTTGTTATGTGTTGACGCCATTATAGGTGTTGAAGGATAGTTCCATCCAGCTATAGCCATATGATTTGAGTCTTCCTCACTGTAACATACGTAAGCTCGGACAGTACTTACAATACCAGGATCACGTACTGTTTCAACTTCTCTAGCGGATTCACTGTAAGTGCAAGAGTCAAATAGGAAGGCACCAAAGTTTGGAGCTAAAGATACATCTCCTGCTCCTCCTCCTCCAGTTATTTCAACTTTTCCTTTGATAGATAGAAGGGAAGCGTTCATTGCAAAGAACGAATCTACTTGATTGATGCTAAATTCCACAACATCATTACAATTAAATGACTTGATGAACGGCGTATAAGATCTATACTCAGCCTTGCGAATAGATTCATCGAATGCTGGAGATCGATATAGATCAAACATCGGAGAAGTATGTGATGCTGCTGCTGCTGCCTCCTCAGTTTTTCTCTTTTTGTACATGATTCTTGTTGTTGTTGACATGATATCCAAGTGAGCGTAGAAACAGGATATTTGATGTAGTTAGTAGTAGATGTCGTCGCTTAGGTGCTTGGGGTAATACTGAAGTTGCCTTGGAAGCACCACTATGTCTTATAATCACTAATCCCATCTGCGCTTCGCTCTCAACTCCAACACAAGAGTACTAGTTTCACCTTGAAAGTTTACAGGACGACCGTCTTGATCTAAAGCCAACACTGTGATGTTGGTTATTTCTTGTTTCGGTATAACAGGTAGATATAGTAAATTTACAGGTGTTTCGACTATAGCGTATCCAGGATCGGCTGTCACAGCAAATTCGTAGATCGTGTGTGCAGGCGTGTCTCCGTCAAAGGCTCCCGACGTAATGTTAGCATCAAAGTGTATGGTTGATACTTTTATTATGTTTACAGGTAAATCAGAAGAATGCTTTTGACCAGGATTAAGAACTTTTTTCGAGAATCCCAATAGATGTCCAAGATTATTCGGTTCTGTAAAAACTATTTTATAATACTTGCTAAAGATTTCACATTGCAGTGTATTATTGTTAGGTTTTAGAGAAAAATAATCATCCGGAGGAGCAACTTCATTTTCAAGATTCATTTGCGTTCGTATAAATGTTTCTATGTCGGTAATTTCATAACAACCTGTCGGAAACTCGATGACTTTTAATTGACCACCACCACCTATCCGGTCGATATAATAAAATTTATCTCCTTTTTCAATATTCGGTATGGAATTGTATGAAGTAAAAGACCTAAGCGCCAATTCATAATCTTTTTTCGGATCCAACACTATCGGTGTTGAAGGACGAAATGAAAATATATGAGTAGTGCTATTGACTCTCAACAACTGCGACATGATGAATGAAAAAATATAGCTGTGTACTAAGCATTTATTCAAGTTTTTTTTTTGTTTATTTTCGAATGGATAATT